GGGGGGGGGGTTGGGAGGAGAGGAGACACAAGGAACAATGGCAGTGAGGTAATGAGCGGCTGTGGTAGCCCTGAGGCACTACCGACACAGGAATGAACTGTATTCCTCACATTCACATCCAGTCAGTTACAGTACAGAGTTCCAGAGAGTAGAAAACACCAGAGAACAATGGCGGCATTTTATCAAACATTGCAATTTCCAGAAAATATAAAACGATTTTAACATTATACCTCTACATTGAAAATTGACATCAACAAACTGTTCCCACTGTCAAAATGTAAACCAAAGTTTACATTCTTAGTAAACATAATTAAATCTCTTAATTCAAAAGGACATTTGATACAAATTATTATCCCAATAATTCCAACATTTTTCTACTATGTTCCATGCACTGTGGAAATAAAAAGCCAAGGTCCCTGCCCTTGAAGAGACTGCAGCCTGGTGAGACAAACCACCATGCCTACCTAGAATGCACGGCATGATCCAGGTATGCACATGGCTATGGAGTAAAAGATGGACTCATCCCTTCTGAACAAGTTTCAGCAAGGACTCAGAGGAGAGGCCGATGGCTCAAGGAGCAAGGAGTCTGGCAGGGCGAAAGTGTCTGTGGGGAGGAGAGGGCTTCCAGGCACAGGGCGCATGGCTACAGACAGGGAATAGCGTAGGAGCATGGCGTGGCCAGGGGAATGGTGGGCACAGTGGGTACAGTGTGGCCAGAGCACTGCACAGGGCAACGGCTAGTGGTATGGACGCCTGGACTTAGTCCTAGAAAAGTGGGGGAGCTACTGCTTGCTAGGCTTTAATTTTCTACTAACCCTGGTTTATAAGGTCAGGAAGGGATGCAAAGGAAGTGAGCAGTGAGGCTCTTTCTGTGTCATAAGCAGTCCTTGCGAGCTCTTTGCAAATTACATTGTTCAGGAACCGCCCCCCCCGCCCCTCCCACCTCTCCTTTCCCTTTAGGATCTTGAGTCTTCAACATGGAGCTGCACTGCCATGGGACTGGAAAGGCACAGGGGAGGAGGGCAAGTGAACAGGACCGAAAACGCACACCTACAGCTAACCGAGTTACCATAAGGTAATGGTCACTGTACTGTACACAGGTCTGCAGACAAAATGAATTTTTTCAGAAGTTTTCTAAAACTGCCTAATTCACACCAAAGTCATACCAAAGTGGTGGAAAATCTTTCAGTGTGGGAAAAGTATATAGAACACTTGTAGAAGACTGCATTTCCTAAACTCTTTTCCATTAAATATCAGTGTTTCAGCACAAAACCATAACATAGGATTTCAAAGCCTATCCTCACACGATTAAGACTGAACCAAAACTGCATTGTTTGGCTTAAAAAATAAAAAGATACACCGTGTAATTCCAAGTCTTAGGTTCTCAGCTAGGATTCTCAGCTAGTACTAAAATGTGTCAATGCATGACTAAACTGCCTAAGTGAAGAACATGCAGTAAAAGGCAGATGCAAGTAGGGCATTACTTTAGGGCAGGAGTCCAATGTCTCGTAGTAAGAGAACCAAGTCTATAAAAGTAATACCTTCCTGAAATTTTGTTTTAAAAGGAGGAAAATAAATCTGTGTATTTTATTCAACATTCATTCTTAAGTTACAGTTAATGCCAAAACAATCAGCTTCTAAGGAAAGAAACCTTAGTATAATCCTAAATACATGCATATACATTTAGAAGGATCGTCTACATTTCCTAAATAAGTTACATGCCTGATATACATTAACCAATAAAAAATACCAATGTGAGAATTCAGGACATTTATTTTTCTGCATGGAGATTTAACTGCTGTACAACACACACACACGCACACACAACAAACCCACAGAGCAACGGTGTGTAATAGGTAGTGAGAGACACTTAAAATAAGCATATTTAAAATGCCTACAAACAGGCTTTTTTTTTTTTTTTTTTTTTAGGCAACAAAATATTTTCAGTCCTTGACACCTTCTCACACTCACCTAGCACCACAGATGCAAGGACTTACAGTAAACATGTACAATCTCATGCTTAAAACCTAAAGCATGCATGGAATAGAATTTACACATTATGGCCTACTCTATTAAGTATGCACTACATACTTCTAATATTTTATACATTAAATTACCCTGCAGCATTTTGAAACTTTAACATTTATGCAAAACAACTTTTGAAAGACTTATGAGACAAGTTTTCAAGGATCACCTCCAGGCTGTTTACACAGGCATTGGTTTGGTTAAGTGGGAGAATGGCAGCAGCCTCAAGGTTCATACTGAATGAAAATGGTGTGTGTGCATGTCAATCCATGTAAAAAATACATATATACATAGATGGCACAAAGATTTGTGCAGTTGGAATCACCAGTGCAAATGCATGCATTTGAGGTACTTATTTTTTCCATGGTCAGGTATAATTATGCATAGTCATGTTCCTCAAGTGCTAAATATTTCAGACCTGATCAAATGAAAGTTGTAAGAACTGTAAATATATTTATATAGTTAATTTCCAAGCACTATGGTTTTAATGGACATTTAACATTATATGTTTACATATTTAGTTTAAAATGTTTGCCAACCAATAAATTTTCTCATTGTAAAGAGACTGACTGGTAATTATACCTGGCCAAATGATTTAAATAGCATACTTGAAATCCTAGCAAGAATTGTAGTGAAAGAGTAAAATACTTCATTATTGCTTCATTGGACTGAGAAACCTAGAAGGCATAGATAAACAATGCTCAGTGATGAAAAGTGAATCCCCACAACAGTGGTGCGTGCCCCAAAAGGGCCTCTGCCCAGTAAAAACTAAGCACTCCCCACGTTATCAATGCCGTTGGCATCCACATGGATATCAGGCTCCCCGCACAAAGATGAGGGAACAAAGCGGCTAACAGTGGGACACAAACAGCTCTTAAGCTCTGGCAATTCTTGCTTCAGGCGTTCCAACTGCTCCACTTGGAATATATTTGGCTGTTCAGGCATCCAATCATATATCCTATGATGAAACAAACAACAAACACATAAAATAGTGTAATTTCATGGTTCCCTTAAGACCTGACTTAACCTTTTCAGGAGAATTTGATTACAGAATGCCTGGAACATTCGTAGTACAGGAGCACACCCTCCCCCAACTTTTTACAGGATGGAAGTTATCAGCTCTGTTTAAAAATACTTCTCCATCTTTCTAATAATGCGGAATAACAGCATTTCTTTTTGGGCCCGTGATGAAAAAGCCTGATTATAAAGCAACTGAAACAGAAACTGAAATAAATCTGTAGTTTACTGAGTGACTGATTCTTCAGGTATCTTCTCTCCAAGTGAATCAATCGACAAGGCCTTATTTTATGACGGGAAGCTAGAAAGAGGCAGAGCTGGAATCCATACCCAGCTGTGACTTCAAAGCACTGAAGATGTGCACTGAGAACTGTCCTGAAGTTGTGTGGCACAGGCACACGCACTCACAGTTGAGAGCCCAGAAAAAGCCCATGTGACAATGCCAGCACTGCACTGCCCATCAGCAGAGAGAGGACAGCCTCTCAGGCCTAAACGTGAGGGCCGGGCAGCTCACGTGAGGTGCGATGACAGAGGTCACTGTGGTATCAGAGCAGGAAACAATTTCCAAGAAAATGAGAAGTGACCTCTGGGTCAAGACAGAAGACTGAACTGAAGCATCTACGTTTACTTTCCCTGTATATCCCATTAAAAAGAAAATAAAGGGATTAAAAAAGAATCCATGCATACAGGGAAAAACAGAAACAAAGAGACACAGTAACACAGTTTTGGGAGCTGGGAAACAGATGCGTAAGTAATAACAAAGTATTTTAGTTAGCCGAGCGGAAAAGGCCAAATCACCAAATCACAAGCCAGTAGTGGAAACCATGAGAAGGCAGAGTTAAAAGCAGCACCCGTTTCCCCTTAGAACTAGGGGGAGGGGAGACTAAAACAGGGCAGATGAGGTGAGGGCCTGAGCAGCAGTGAGCATCTCCCTTCCTCCTAACTTCCTGCCATGGAGGCTGCCCCACACCCCTGAGGTTGGGATTTCAAGAATTTAACAGGAAATGTCTTGGAATGGAGGACAAGACAACCAGGTAAGGGTTTGGGCATTTTACAAAAGCCACCAGCACCAGGAGACAGTCCACACATATCACACATGCAAAATTCAGAGACATGCCTTCCCTTCCCCAGATCTCATCCCTTACCTGATTCCCAAGAACCCTGGGAGCCAGATCTGGATCCTCTAGGTAGTTTATATAGATTCTTCTGTGAGGAATCTGGTCAGTCAAAAAGTAAAGTTCTGAATCTACTGACATCAGAAGTATGACCAAACAGGCCACTCACATCATCCCACAGTGAAATCCAAGTGAACAACGCCCCATGCACACAGAGCCTCCAACAAGCTTTTTAGATCCCTATTTCTTATCACGAGAAGCAGTCAAGGGTTTCTAAGCAACTTGAGGAAAGCTTCTAACATGTAAGATAATGAGCCAAAGAGAAGAAAATTCCAAACACACACACACACAAGTCCTTGATGCCTTCCTAGAAATAGTTCATTAAGCCCAAACAGAATGTTATATATAGAGAAAAAAAAGCGCATTCAGAGAATAAAGACAGTTCTTAGAAATTAAAGACACAAAAAAGTCAAGAGAATGTGTGGATGATAAGGTTGGCAAAATCTTTCAAAGTGGAGCAAAACGACAAAGATAGAAAATAGAAGAAACAATAAGAATTAGAAGCCTGGTCCAAGAGTGTGTCATATGTAAACTAAAGGATTTCTTTTATAAAGGGGGGGGGAAAAAAAACCCCAGAAAAATGGGAGACAAAAATCAAAGAATAATTTACAAAATTTTCGGCATCTTCAAGGACACGCATCAACAGATTAAATGGGCTGCCATGTGCCCACCACAAGGGATGAAACCAGACCCACAACAAGACCCATCTCTATGAAATTTTACCACACTGGTGACAAAAAGAAGACTCTCCAAGTTTCCAGACAGGAAACAAAGAAACCACTCGTGCAGAAACAAGATTCAACATGGTTTCACACTCCTCAACAGTAACACTGAAAACTGTGAAGCTGACGGAGAAATGCTTTTAAAATTCTGAAAGAAAATGGTTTCTAACATGAAAATTTATGCCCAGCCACAATACTTCCAAGCATGCAAGACCACATATTTACTTTCCATGTCTTCCTTTCTTTTTTTAAAAAATTTTTTTTTTTTCAACGTTTATTTTTATTTTTGGGACAGAGAGAGACCGAGCATGAACGGGGGAGGAGCAGAGAGAGAGGGAGACACAGAATCGGAAACAGTCTCCAGGCTCTGAGCCATCAGCCCAGAGCCTGATGCGGGGCTCGAACTCACGGACCCCGAGATCATGACCTGGCTGAAGTCGGACGCTTAACCGACTGCGCCACCCAGGCGCCCCTCCATGTCTTCCTTTCTTAAGAAGTTACTGAAGGGTGTGTTCCATAAAAATAACCATAAAGCAAAAAATATCTGGACCACAGGAAATGGAAGCTCAGACACAGGAAGGGTCAGGGAGCAGTCTTCACTCAGGATGACAGGAAGCAAAAGCAAAAGTTTTGCAAAAGCAAACTTGGCAATTACCTAAATGTTCTCAAGTAGAATAAACAGTGGTAGAGACATAGCCATGAATACTACACAGTCACGAAGATGAATAAATTATAATTACATACAATAAACAGATTGACTTTAAGAACATTATAACAAGTGGGAAAAAAGTACAAATAGTCTAAAGCCATGAGAAACTAAACGATACTATTTAGTGATTGAAATAAGAATTTAAAATTTTTAAAAAGAGAATAATAATTTGATAAAGTTGTATCTGAGAGAGGAGATAAGGGAATTGAATTAGGGAGAGGCAAAGGGCAGACTTCAAATCTAATGCTAATATTCTTTAACATGCGTGTCTGTTACTGAATTTATATTTTAATTTTTTAACCATTTGAGCAGGTACAGTAATTATTTTATAAAAATAGGAACATTGCCTAATTACTCTATTTGGCAAGTATTTGCCCCATACCAAAATGAGAAACAACCAGTTGAGAAAGGTAAATTAAAGGTCATCTTATCACAAATGCAAAAACTCCAAATATCACCAAATCGAACACAGCTCTTTATATGCCATAACGTACTGCAAAAACATGATTAAATGTAAAATCTACGGTGTGTTAATACCTTTGTAAAAGGAGACTAAATCGGTTTTTGACCCACTAAAACACCTCATCTTATCAATAATTCCCCCAATGTAAAATAAATCAAAGGCTCCCAAATCACTAATTGTTCAAAAACTTCTCCACAATGTCTAAATTTGATGATTAAAAAAAAAAAATAGTAACATAAGCACATTACATACCAGAACAAAATAGCTTAAAAAACATCAGGGCACAGGAACTCAGCTAAAAACAATGAAAGGGGTAACAGGCACAGGGGACTGCTGGTTTTCACTGTAAATCTTGTATACACATACAAAACACACATACATACTTATATATGTAGCTCTCAGATTAAAGTGTTAAAAAAAAAAGAAAAGTTCAAGGGTAAACACCAACTCTAACAGATTCTAGCAGGAGCCCCACCCTGAGCTATCTCCTCAATGTCTTCAACATAGTCCTGCCCTGAGTCATGCTATTGCTTCTGCCTGAAACTCAAATCCTGTCAAAGCAAACTTAGCCACTCCCAAAAACCAACTCAACACTTCCTCTTTGAAAGCATTCTTATTGGGGCACCTGGGTGGCTCAGTCGGTTAAGCGTCTTGATTTCAGCTCAGGTGGTGATCTCACAGTTCATGAGTTCGAGCCCCAACACAGAGTCTGTTTTGGATTCTCTCACTCTCTCAAAATAAATGAATAAACTTTAAAAAAGGTACTCCTATTGATCCTTAGCCAGGAAGAACTCTCTTTCTTGGGGGCTTTTTATCACAAAGTATATTCCTGTTCTCCATTACATGTCACAATTTGGCTCTAAGTAAGGCCCTTCAGATGAAGGGAAGTTATTATACACGGTATGTCTCACAATACATTTCCTTGCCTGAAAATATTTGCAATCATCCCTTCCTTCTCCTCAAAGAAAGAAATATTCTCCAAAATTTTGCTAAAGCCAGCACTTCTTTCAAATGATTAATGTAAACATTTTATTTTCCTTTAATTAGTTGGAAATGTCTCATATAAGTGATGTAAAATTTTTATCTTCATTGAACTAGTTGGAAAGGTCTACTATAAGTGATACAACTATACAGGACAAACGGTAAAGGGAACTAAAATCAAGGAAAGTATTTTTTTTTTAACGTTTATTTATTTTTGAGAGACAGCATGAGCAGGGGAATGGCAGAGAGAGAGAGAGAGAGAGAGAGAGAGAG